TCGGCACATCTCTAATATTAACACATTAAGCTTTTTAGATTGATTAAACACTGAGACCGGATTTAATCTCTACTTATATTTTAGACATTGCAATATCAACAGGTACAATTGTGTAATCCCAAAAGATTGCCTCCACTGTTAAGTTGAAGTTGTTTGTAAGATCTGTTAGGTGTTACAACACGACCAAAAGCCTGAACAGCTGATTAAAGATAGGACAGATTCATGCTTTCCCGAAATCCTACTCAACAATCTGCATTATACTCTCAGTTCTCATGCCTAAGGCCACAGCAGTCGTAAAATAAGTAGGAGTATAACATGCAACATATTAATCATATATCTATATGTTTAAAATGACAAAAGAATCTTTACAAATCTTTTCTAGCACAGTTTAAAGTCTACTTCATAACATCATTTAAGTTTTGGTGCTCCTTGTTCAAATACCCTCCTTTAAACTTGAGATTTTAATAACACATTGCACAGTCTTAATTGTAAGAATTTTACTTACAATTACTTCATCCTAACTTGTTCCATTACTCTCTGATATCAACAACACATTGTCTGCCATATAACTGCATTTTCTCTTTTCTGATAACTCTAAGGCTTAGAGATGGTTGTGTGTGAAAACCCCAGTAGATCAGTCTCAACTCACTCAGGCCCGTCTAACCAACAACTATGTTTGAAGTTGTTTAAATCCCTTTTCTACCCCAATCTGAGGCTCAATTTAAAACTTCACAAGTCATCTTCACTATGTCTACATGCAAACCGCACTGAGGCGGTGCTAAACCAAAAAAAACCCCAATCTTTACCCTGTAGAGGTTGCAAAACTATAGTTATGTTGAATGGAAACTTTAACTGTCATTTCAGGTTAAACATTTATTAAAAAACTAACAGAGAATCCGCTGTCATTAAAACAGTGAAATGTATTAGATCAAAAAGATTAAAGTATTCAGCTTCAGGGTCCCCCACTGATGAAATATGTGATTCAATACCAGAGATCAAGGTCTGAGCTCATTAAAAATTTATGCACGATTAATTTTGAACACAAATAAAAATTTTATGCGAAATAATAAGCGATAGAACATAAGACAGAATGGATGAAGTGGTGCGGTCGTGGAGATTTAGATCAAGTGCAGAGTGCTTTCATATTTAAATGGAAATAAAAGGCAGTCAAGCTTCCTTAGACTGCACAGGACAGAGTTTATTTGAGTTTTCACTGTTACTTACTGCACTTAAATATCAGAAACAGATGCGATGAAAACTGCAGCGGTTGTATGAAACGTTTCGCAATTCACTGGCTAGAGCACCTAATTATGACCTGTTGCAGGATTTCAGGCCAGCTACCGAGAATCCACTAATTTTAGTCAGGGTTTGTTCACTTTTCCCACAGTAACATTCAAGCACTTTTCAAGCATTTTTAAGTTTTCAAACTATTCCAGCACCACACTCTGAAGATGAAACAAAACCAAAGAACTAAAAGAAATACTGCCTCATGTCTTATACACCCTACAGCAAGGACAACATCAACTAAAATAAAACAAAATGCAATGTTTTGAAATGTCTCTCTCACACCCCCGATATGGACAAAACGGTATAGCTTGAATATTAGTCATTTTTAAGGACTTTAAATAGAAACCAAACATTTCCACACCCTGAAAATATCCAATGGAAATTCAAGCATTTTCAAGGATTTCAAGCACCTTCACATACCCTGTTTAGTGGCACGTTGCTCTTTTTGAGACTCACTTTTTAAAGTTTTTTTTTTTTTGTTTTTCCTCTTATTTAACGTCTCAGGAAACAGAGTGTTGCATAAGAGAAGAAATACAGACTCAGTCATACACAGAAATCGACATGACCCAGAGAAAAAAATGGTAGCCTTTGCCATTTTATCCAGCGGGTCATGCAGTTTGAAGAGGTCACAGCAGGGCTGTAGCTTTGCAGCTGGCTGCGGCCTTTGTAAAGAAATCATGTTAGTACTGCCACATTCTGTAATTACTGACTGACCTTCATGCTCTTTCTCTGAAGTACCGGTTTTCTTCATCTTCTTTGGGGTTTTCATAAAAAGTGGAAAGATGGTCCGCAAGCCCAGGACATCCACAAATTTATGGCAGTTATCTGCTCCCTCGGGCCCAATCATAGCATGGTCCAGAACCTTCAGAGCACTGGTTCGAGACATTTTCTTCTCTCTGAGGAGAAGATGGCATTAAAAAGGTATATTAGTAAAAGTTCTAAAATAAGTCTGAACTGGTAGAAAGTGTTCAGTTTAACAATCAGCTACAGTCATGTGTTCTTGGTTGAACCATAACAATAGAGGATTTTTATATAATGGAACCAATAACAGAAATGTCAATCTTGAATAAAACCTAGAAAAAAACATACAAAGGTGAATATGCTTAACATACACTCCTGATCAAAATCTTAAGACCAAAAAATTGCAAGAATTTGCATTTTGCACTATTGGATCTTAAGAAGGTTCTAAGTAGAGCTTCACAATGTTAAAAGAAGAAATCAGCGTAAGAGACCAAATCTTTTGAGCGGGGAATTTTCTGAAAACTGCATTTACACTCAAACATGATTTTTTTCAGCTGATCAAAAGTTTAAGACCATAGCTCAAAAAAACCCGAAAACCCCCCAAAACAGAAATCAAAGTGTCAAAAAAAAAAGACTCAGTAATGATTAGCTCCACCATTCTTGTTGATGACTTCAAACAATTGTTTCGGCATGCTTGATGCCAGTGTTTCCAGGAGGCTAGTGGGAACGTTGCTCCAAGTGTTGGACATAGCTTCACGAAGAGCATCCACTGTCTGGAACTGATGTCCATTTTTGTAAACTTCCCTTGCCATCCATCCCTAAATGTTATCAATTGGGTTTAGATCCGGGGAACATGCAGGATGGTCCAAAAGAGTGATGTTATTCTCTTGGAAGAACTCCTTTGTCAGGCGGGCATTGTGAACTGCAGCACTGTCCTGTTGAAAAACCCAATCATTACCACACAGACGAGGGCCCTCAGTTATGAGGGTTGCCCGCTGCAACATCTCCACATAGCCAGCTGCTGTTTGACGCCCCTGCACAACCTGAAGCTCCATTGTTCCATTGAAGGAAAACGCACCCCAAATCATGATGGCGCCCCCACCACTGTGCCGTGTAGAAAACATCTCAGGTGGGATCTCCTTGTCATGCCAGTAACGTTGGAAGCCATCAGGACCATCAAGGTTAAATTTTTTCTCATCAGAGAAGACAACTTTCTTCCACCTTTCAATGTCCCATGTTTGGTGCACCCTTGCAAAGTCCAAACGGGCAATTTTGTGGCGTTGAAGAAGACGTGGCCTTTGAAGACGTTTTTTGTTTCTGAAGCCCTTCTCTCGCAGATGCCGTCTGATGGTTATTGGGCTGCAGTCAGCACCAGTAATGGCCTTAATTTGGGTAGAGGATCGTCCCGTGTCTTGACGGACAGCCAATCGGATCCTGCGGCTCAGAGCTGGTGAAATTTTTTTGGGTCTACCACTTGACTTTTTTGTTCCATAACCCTCAGGATCATTTAAAAAATGCAAAATGACTGTTTTACTGCGACCAACCTCAGCAGCGATGGCACGTTGTGAGAGGCCTTGCTTATGCAGCTCAACAATCCTACCACGTTCAAAGTCACTGAGCTTTTTTGCTTTTGCCATCAGGAGGTCTTGGCAGTGTAAAGACTTGACAGAAAATGACATGGATTCCAGATTTTTGCACAGCTTTTGGCTTTTAAAGACTATTGATCAGCTGAAAAAAATCATGTTTGAGTGCAAATGCAGTTTTCAGAAAATTCCCTGCTCAAAAGTTCTTGTCTCTTGCACTGATTTTTTTTCCTTTAACATTGTGAAGCTCTACTTAGAACCTTCTTAAGATCCAATAGTGCAAAATGCAAATTCTTGCAATTTTTTGACTGGTCTTAAGATTTTGATCAGGAGTGTATACTGCTGTGCAAAACTGCACTGTAGTAGCTACAGGTAATCTCAAAACTATTCATACCCCCAGCAGATTAAGATTTAGAAACCATGTTCATTCAACCAAGATGTTGAGGTTCTGACAGGCACGTCTAAAAAAAAAAACAATTAAATTCATTTCAGGGATGCAAGCAAATAATCGGCTTACAATATATTGTTGATTAATTTTTTATTAGAATAAAATTAATTCCAATCGCTGCAACAGACTGGCGACCTGTCCAGGGTGACCCCGCTTCTCGCCCGGAACGTTAGCTGGAGATAGGCACCAGCAACCCTCCCGACCCCACTAAGGGACAAAGGTGAACAGAAAATGGATGGATGGATGGATAGTTCCAATCGATTAATAATGTAACTTAGAACTTCTTTCAGTGTGGTAGTTTGGTTGCCAGCCAGCAGAGGGCGTCGCTGGTCATCATTAAGCAGGGCCAGTTGATACGGAAATAAAGATGGCAGGCCATAATAGAAAGGCAAAGAGAAACAGTCAAAACAAAGTCTGGTGTGGGATCCAAAATGCACTTCATGCAGCTCCATTTTAAAATATAAACATTCAACAAGCTCCTTAAGATATTACCTTAATTGCGCTGACTCAACAAAGCCAAACATTTTTCCTAGTAACTCTTCTGTTTTCCAAACTTAAGACTAAATAAAATTACACACATGCAAATTTTTCAGTACCAAGTAGAATCCTTGCAAATACCGCCTGTTGATCATTTTGAGGTTTTACAAAGTGTCCCATTGACCTCACCTTATTATACATTTATTTTTTTGTTTTAAAGGTTATGTTCAGTAGTTTTTATTAACCCATCATGACACCAACATCAGGCAAACAAATATCCTGCAGAACAAACACTCAACCGTTTCCAGCATCAATGTCATGCGGTCGAATGAAGAAGCAACCTTTCTTTAGTCTGTTTACATCTCCCACTCTATCCTACACATCCTCTAAGGAAATGTAGCTGTCTGTCTGAGTGTCATCCCCCCCCATTCCACCAATGTCACATGACAGAGTTTATCTCAGAGGAGGGACACATATTTCAGGCAGTTGTGTCTGTTTTTGCAGACAGACACACTGCAGATGATGGACGGCTGGGGTGGGCAAGGGGAGTGATGTTTCCACATGGAAGCTACGGCAACTCAGTCTGCAGATAAAACATATAAAGTAACATAACTATTTGGAGGCAAGAATTGGCTGGAAGTTATTGGCCATGTGAGTATGACGGGAGGCAAATATGTTTTAATACTGTTGCAGATTATAGAGACAACATATTAACAGTAACTTAGGAGTTATCTGATGAGTCTAGTAGTGAACGTTGTCCAAAATATTGATCTATCAATTAAAATACAGATAATTATGATTTATCAATTACAGACCTTGCTATTAACTTGATTAAAAATTTAAGTTGCAAAGAACTAATTAAATATATATTTTCAATAATCAATAATATGTTTTATGGCTAATTTTTTTTTAAATAACAGTGAATGCTTAAAAAAAAGTCATCCTACAACTGTAAAGGGATTACTATACAATTTCACAGCATGCATATCAGCAAAAATCACTTTAACATTTGCTACAGTTCCACAATTCCACAAAATCTGTAGTAATTCAATGCAAGATACATAGTTTCATCACTAGAAGAAGGTTTGACCTCTAAGAATCATTGACTGTTTTGGACTTGCCCGCAGAAACAAATCAAGCAGCTTTGGTAAATAAACGTTCTGAGAAAATAAGTTCTGGGAAACTTGTCTCATAGTCAAAACAGGCCTTAAAAAGTTGTGATGTTTTTAAAGTGCCAATATTAAAAGTTGGTTTGTTTGGCGTAGATGGCTGAACTAAACCAAATCTAACCCAACAAATCCAACACCCAAGATTAACTTGAAACATCTCCTTAAAACAACCATTAAGTCATAAGTCCAACGCTAAGCATTAAAGTCTTCCTTACGTCACCTGAGATTTAAACAAATACTTGGTAAGTTTTAATTGTCCTCATTTATATATAAAAAAGTTTCTGTTCCATCCATCCATTTTCTTTACACCCTTGTCCCTAATGGGTCAGGAGGGTTGCTGGTGCCTATCTCCAGCGAACGTTCCGGGCGAGAGGCAGGGTCACCCTGGACAGGTCGCCAGTCTGTCACAGGGCTTCTGTTCCATCTGATCTATACAAGCAGTAGGCAGTGTGAAATCACTTTTTTGTTGCATTGGATTCATTTGCTCTGTTTTATTTTGTTTTGATAAGAAATGTATATTTATTAAAATTATAGGTGATATTTCTCCCTATAATCTTCAGAAATTTATAAGAGTTTCTAAACCTAACTAATACTTTTCTCTCAATTGTTTTACGTTTCATGGAAAATAGTTTTTCATACTTCAAATAAGAGCAAATATACTGAGGAGAAACATTGACATCTTAATAGGTGATATTGCTTGAATTATGGGGAATGACTTTGGTTATTTTTCTTTTAAAATGTGTTATTATGATGCCACAATACTGACAATTTTACTGTTATTATTCTGAGAAGCTCACATTGTCCCATGGCCCCGATTACAGCGATAGGTCCAACACTAACCGTAAATGCTGGACCATTTTTGTTGGTTAAATTCCATCAAGCCAACAAAAATGATTATGTTCTAGTTTAAGAAGATAGGGCTGATTCTGCCATAATGAGTTATTGATCGCCGTCTTAAATGTGTATGTCTAGTGATGTGATCATCAGTGCTCAGGTGCAGAAGCTGTGAAGGTTTCATAAATGCATGTGGTGAGTCTGCATGAGTGTTTAAGGTCAGCTCTCTGCCGGTCTCATCCAATCAATCAACAGTTAGCAGAGTGCAGCAAGGCAGTAGAGTAGAACAAGAGAACAGGGGAAAAAGCTCTGAAATGAGCTTTTAAGGACCGAAAGGTCCAGAAGAGAGTATTTTGTTCCTCTTTTGCACCATAGCATCTCAACTTATTTATCTTTGAACCCAAAGATGAAGTCAAATGATCTAAAGTTCTAATGTATTCATTTAATACACAAAATATAGAAAACCTGAAACTTCCCAGATGGTGTTTGGAGCAATAACAAATCTGAAAATGGCTTAAAGCATCAGTTTCTACATGTGTAACGGGGAGACTAAACGGCTCCTGCTGGAAAGGTAAAACAAATCAACATCCTATCTGTTGCTTTACTTCTACTAGAGAAAAAAATGGGGAATGAATAAATGTAACATTAATCAGGGTGTGATGCATTTAGCATTTCATCCAATCTACCGTTTTACTAGATTAAGCCAGAAGAGGGGCAGTATTAGAAGTCAGAGTTTTGTGGACATGTGGCCACAAAGTAAAAAACATGAAAATGTTAGATGGCTCTGAGGTTCTGGTGGTGTGTTCCTTACACACCGCAGTCTTACCTGAGCATGAGGTTCATTAGCTGGAGTCCTTCTCCTTTGAGGAAGCGGTCCCTGTTGGAGGACAGCATGAGGCAGGAGCAGAGAGCATCAAAGAGGTTTTCCATCATCTCCTGCTCCTCGGCTGTGTTTGGGTTGTGACGTTTAAACACCTGGGAGACGAACCAAAGGAAAGCCCTTTAAAAGGGTTCACAGGCCTGATTTTGGAAGAAAAGTTAAAATGCTTAACATGTTTCTGATAATAATTGAAGGAGATTTGGGCACATGTCGAAAGAAAAGCTGAGAATCAATTCAAAAAGTCTTAATAATAATTATAATAGTAAAAGTAGTAATAATAACAAAACTAATTTAAAAGAAAAATAAATCACTGCAGTTTTAAATATGACATAATTGTGAAACAATACAGATTCTTTTGTCTGAAAAGTTGCCAAATATAGTGACAGAAATGGAGAGACTATTGTTAGACACAAGGTCTTGGTGGATAAAATCATTTTCACATTAAGAATCAGGCAATCATCCAAAATTCAGGAAATCAGGGCTGATTTATCATCCACCCCTAATTTGCATTGAGCCCATTTTAATTCAATCCCGCTACATAAAATCTCAGGTGGGGAAATGCAAGCCACACTTTTCAGATCATGTAATTTAAAAAATATATACATATATTCTTGTTTACAAAAAAGTTTACAAATCCTATTGCAAAGCACTGTATTCCACTGATCAGTCAACAATATGTTCCATAAACACACTGATGTGTTGATTAGAATCAACTGCACAGTTAAACAAGACCAGCAACAGTAGGTCTAACTAGGGAAAACAACACTGAAGGTCAAAGGTCAAAGAAAAAACAGCTAAAAGTCTTACAGAGAGCTGCTGCAGTAATACATCAATGCCATCCATTTCCCCCAGTAGTTCTCTGGTAGCTGAGGGAAAAGTAAAATAATAAAGTGAAAGATTACAATCAAAATGCACGTAAAGATTAAAAATACGTTTAAAATAAGTTTAAAAAGTTTTATTTATTACAAAACACAAAACAAAAAACAATGGACTTGATTCAAAAATGCAAGCTGAAACATCTATATTTTTAATTTCCCATTTAAACTTTGACAACTGTCCTTTAAGTCACATGTAACAGCAAGAGATGATAATTACATGCAAATTAGGATTTCAAGAAGCCAAAGTGTCACTTTTATGTAAAATGAGATGATTTGCCTTGCTCTTACCTCAGACACACACAAATTAATCATGAGACGTTATCTGTGACAGCGGGTCTTTATTCAGTTTTTTTTTTTTTTTAGATTTTGATTTTTTTCTTTGTGGATGCTGAAATGCAGAGAAGGCAGCTAATAACTGAGACAGCAGGAGTAAGATAAAGAGAAGCTGGTTTAAAAAGACGCGACTCCAAATGCAGATCGATATGGACTAGGAACCTGATCATCCTGTGGCTGTCTGTGGCTCTACAGAATTTTAGTATTTTATTAAGCATGAGAAAGGAAGAAAACAACAGCAAATCTACCCAGAAAGATGGTGGAAAACATGACAGGTAACATGAAATAAAAAAATAATAGAGGGAAATGAGATTTATAAGGAAGGGAGGAAAAAATTCAAAGGAATCTAAATAGGAGGAGTGGTAATGGGAATGTGTAATGAGGGGAAAAAAGGAAGGAGGGAAATGACACAATAAAGGGATGCTGACAGAGAATGCATCAGCATAAGGAAAATAATAAGAGGGAATAATAATTCTGAGAGGTTCAAAAACAGAGCAGAGCTTTTACAAAGAAAAACTTACTGTCATTATTCTGCAGCAAGATGGCCAGAATCTCACTGCAGTACAGCTTGTTAGCATCAAACGGCATCTTAGCCTGGGGGGTGGGGGGAAGGAAGGAGGGAGAGCAGGGGAAAAAAGAGAGAGAAATGAGAAAGAGGGAGACAAATAGAGAAAAGAGTAAAAGAGAAAAAGAAAGAGGGAGAAGAAAACAAGGGGAATAAAGGGAGAAAGATAGAAAAAAGAATAAGAAAAAGAAAAAGTGGGAAAGAAAAATAGAGAAAATAGAAAGAAAAAGAAGATTTGAAAAAGAAAGAGAATAAAGACAATAATAACAGAAAAGGAGATGGAGGGGGAAAAAGAAAACAAAGAAAAAAAGGGAAAGGCACAAACAGGACAAACAGAGATGTATTTAGCAGTCCAGCTGAGAGGCTCGGGTCTCCAAACTCTCCAGGTTTTCCACAGGAAGCTCTCCGGTTTGCAGCCTGAAGCAGTGCTTCTGCCTCACACGGCGTCACATGAAGCAGAGCCACAGCGCTTCCAAATAAATCTACAGCCTCATTTATTTCAATCACAACAACCAACAGAGTGAAAACAGAAAAAAAACTAATGACCTTCGAATCAACACAATATCTGAATTAGATAGCTACAATTGACAAAAAATTTCATTACATCTTAATACAGTTATAAAACTTGCTTTATAAAGTAACCAAATCATAATTTTTAAGCTTATGCAGTGCAATGTTCACACCAGCAGAGAGGTGCTTAGCAGCTAAAACCTCATCTGACTGATTTAAATCATCTTTTATCAGATTTATCTAATGAAACCTTTTTTTATTTGCAGGAAGACAGAAAACCACTCAGCTTTAATCCATCTCCAAGATTTGAATTTGAATTTTAAATGAAGTCTAATATAACTAGACTGCATAAAACTGAAAACGCTGTACTGGAGATTCACATGACTTTAGTTTTGCATTTCACTGTAAAAATACAAAATGTTACTAAGTAATTCTGGTTTAGTTTCTAGTGCAAATATCTCAGTACACTTGAAGTAAATAATGTAAATAATGTAAATAAACTGAACATGTTACTGTGCTTTAATTGTTCCTTTTCATTTTACCATTGGCATTTTCATTATTCATGCAAATATATCAATTACTTCAAATAAGGGATCTTCACTTCCCATGGTTACCGTAGTGATCCCACTGGTGATGTCTTCACCTACATCTAGTGACTGCCAAACAATCATATAAAACTAAATACAGACTAAAGGCACAAAAAAAGCTAAAAAGCAGCAGAAGAAATGTATGATTATCAAAAATTCGAAAGATAAAAACAAACTGAAAAGTGAATTTACAATGAAGTTCTATGTTTGTTAGGCAAGTTTCCAAGCACGGGTGTACATCATATCAGAAAAATATAAAATCACGATGCTGTTGCTGAAAATACTGATGTAACTCCATTTTTCTAAAACTATAGATCAGATGTGGGCATTGCTAGAATCATACATTGTTAATACGCAGAGAGCAATCTTTTGTCAAATCCTGTGTCAAAGCAGTACATTCCCATTGTGATATGCTGCACACTAGTGTTGCAGTGGTTATAGTGCAGCTCTATGTCTAAGACAAAACAAGGCACCTTACTACATTTTAGAAAAGGACAGACTGGATGGGAAAGTTTTTCCTACGTATGTCTGTCCAAACAGTCGAGTGGTCAGAGCGTCAGCTTCTTACCTTGATTCTCTTCAGCAGCCATTGCATGAGACCCTGCTGAGCAGCTTCAGTGCACAGGCCAGGTCTGAACTCTGCCATGTTTTCAGTAATGGCTGCAGAGATTGGAGAAAAAAATAAATAAAAAAATCAGTCATGGAACATTACGTCTGCCAAAAAATGACTTTACAGTTTTTCTGGATGGAATGAAGCAGTGAGTGTGTCTAAGAGCCAGAAGGTTCTGATCTTGAGTGTTTACCCAATCTGATAGTTTTCCCCTTCCCACCGTATCTGTCATCATCAGCACTACTAAATAACTGGAAAGCAAAGGATGCTTAGTAGAAGATTGTTTTATAGAATTTGAATCAGCTGAGGCTAAAACTGCCAATTGAGGAGTTTTGGGTAAAACATAAAACTTTTTTTTAATCATAAATGCTAAATGTATACATTTATGCACAGATTTGACTTAATTACTGCTGTGAGTGTGTTGCTCTTTCACCAAATTGCCTCTTTTTGAGTTTGTATGCTCCAGTTTAATAACCTATTACTAAACTAGTTGATGATTATTTCAATAACAGATTCATCGTGATTAATTGCTTTGGTTCTACTCTGAACTCCTGAGACGTCTGTCAGAAATGTCTATAGAAACAGTAAGGGTGCTGGATTTTTTCCACATGTGGCTTTGGATGAATTCAATAATCTGGATGAATGACTGAGTACTTTTGGCATTATAATGCCCCCCTAGATTTTAACTGTACTGTTTATGCTGTGAAACAGAGGGATTTAAAATTAAATTTGACGTGTGTATGAGTTAGTGCTATCAATCAATTGAAAAAAATGTATCAGATTAATCACACTCTGGTGCTGTGAGTAATCACAATTAATCACTATAACTAACTTGTAGTTGTTGCACTGGGAAAGCCCCACCTTGTGCTGGACTCCAACCAATTAAGCAATTATCTGTTTTTTGGGGGGGAGGGGTTGTAGCAGAAAGCAGGTAATGTAATCTCCCAGTACTCAAAAGCAACTAAGGGGAACTTATACCACAACACATTCATACAGCTAGAAGCAAATTTGTTCAAGGACAACTGACAGATAAGATATACTTTATGTTCTAGATCTTGGGTGCCCCACTCCTTTCTTATGCGGCCCTGGTTAACTGCCCATATTAAAAAACCGCCATGTTCTCAAAAAATATTTAAGAAAATGTTTTATTCTCTTAAAGCTAACATGTCTGAAGATTCTCAGTTTTCTAGGTTTGTATATTCTGGAGGGTTAACAAGAAGCCATTTTGTTTTAAACAATTAATGTAAAAATGTCCCTCTCCATTAATTTCCTATGAACTTGAGCGATGAGGCAACAGTCTGCTGTCCGCATCCAGCCGGCGTAATTCCTGCATGTGAAACTATGAGCTCGTGCACGCAGACGTACACACAGGGCTAGCAACACAAGAAAGATTTAAATGTTCAAGTTTTGTTTCCGTCTGCTGTCGCTGAATCGAGCTGGTGTGAATGAGGTAAGCCTCCGCAGGAATAGGTAGTTCAATTAATCTGTATTTTGTAATATTAACGCTTTAGAATTTTCAGATTAATGGCATGTGTTGAAGTTGACAGCCGTAGTACAAATAATAATAATAATAATAATGATACAAATAAAAAAAAAAACAGTACATGCGAGATTGGTTTGGAAATGGAAGTGTAAATAGTTTTGTGTGCGCTGTGAGATATTTTCACCTGATGTTCACAGTACAGGCTGCAGCCCGTTAACAAAAAGGGCTTCCAGAGAACCGAAGGATGGAAACCGCAATCTGAAATTCCAGATCAAACCTGATCTTATTAAGCAGATCAAGTATCAGTCGGGTGTGACTAATCTACATCAAATCAGATTTTTCTCTCTGTGCTTTTTCCCCAACTTATCTTATAATTCTTTGCTTCCAAAGGCCTGTCTCTGTAATTCATCCCTTCATCAGAGCAAATGGAAGCTGTGAGAGAGAGAGAGAGAGGGAAGAATGGAGAAAAAGAAGAAAGAAATGAGCAGAAGAGCAAAGCAGAGGAGAACAGGGTGGTGGACAAGTCAAAGATGAAGGATGAGAAACAGAGAGATGCTAGAACTGAGTTAGGAGCAGTGCGACAATACAGGGGAAAAAAACAGCAACATCTGGAGAGATGGGCTGCAGATGATAGAGAAATGATGGAGAAACAACAACGGAGGAGGAGATAGAGCGCAGGGGTGCAGAGGGAGGAAGACCAAGGCCCTTTATCAGGGATTCAAACGGAGCAGACAGCATCCTGGAGGAAAGCAGGCCCAGAACAGAAAGCAGCCAACGCAGACAAAAGGCTTATTCTAGCTTGGAGAGCTCCCTTGATAACTCTCTCTCTCTTTTGCACACACACACACACACACACACACGCACGCACAACTTCAGAGGATGCGCTAGTGTTGCTCCCGCGATGAACGCCACAAACACACACAAACCTAAACAGCTCTTCTGACAGACGGCCTCAATCTGGCAACAAAGAAAGAGAAATCATCTCAACGGACTCATTCAACACAAAAACAGCTGAGGGGCAGAAAAGTCGGATCCATGGGAGGCTGAACGCAGAGGCCAGGACTTTTACAGTCTCCTACTGTCCTTCTGTCACTTTTAATGCTATTGAATGAACCAAATGAATTACTTTTAGGAGACTAAAAAAAATACAGACTGCAGAAGTATCTAGAAAAGAGCAGCTAATTTGACCACGGGGTCCTACACTGCCCCTACTGGTCATCTGCATTTAGTTGTTGTTAAAGGATTTGCACGGTTTCCCCAAACCTAGACCTCGGTACACAGAATGACAGACCTTAGATCGGTCCGTATTCAACACTCTTCATTTAAAGCAACCAGTCACACCAAAAGCTCGCCAGTAAGCCATCCTGCAGGATGTAACTTTTATTTGTTTTTACATATTTGTTAAAACTGTCATCCTTGTCGTGATGGTTTGTTACAAAACACATAATCTGTGGAACTGATTTTAACAATTTTATTGATTAATCAAACTTTAGAAAAGATTTAATTGTTGGAAAATTTGGATTTCTTTTTTCTCCAATGAACTCCTTGGGTTTCCATAGTTCACAGTGATGTCAGCACACCCAGGGCCGCCATCTTGTTTGGCAAACATGTTTTACAGCTTTTATCTATTTGAACTTTGGATTCAGGTCAACACTAATAAATATAGGCCAATACAAAATATAGGCTTTATAAGAATAAAGCCATAATGTTACAAGAAAACAGTCATAGTAATATGAAAATAAAGTCCGATAAAGTTGGAGTAATACAAGAATGAAGTAGGAATTTTTAAATTTTAAAGTGTTTTTCTCATTAAAACAACTTTTGTCTTATAACTTGAAGAAATTCTTCTGGTAAAATTGTATCTTTATTATTTCAATATTATAACTATATACTCATACTTGTTCATACTACAAATATTCATGCATCCTGGTCCTAATAATCCAACTCACAGAAGGGACGACTGACAGAAAATATTTTCATAAAGTAGCTTTTATGTCTTTTTTACAGAAGAAACCAAAAGAAAAATGATTCAAATTAGAAATCAAGTGCAGTTTGAAAAAAATTAAAATCTTTTTATTTTTAAGCTATATTGCCCAACCCCAAGAACACACCATATCTAAGTACCTTTTTGTTGTTTGAAATTGGTAGAAAAAGTAGTTTTGCACCGACTGCTCACACACACAGTGTGACGCCGCGTCTGAAATAAATGACAACTAACTGCAGGAAGACTTTTTTTTTTTTTCAAATGTTTATCTAGCACAGAATGTGTAGAGAGAGAAGGAGGGAAGACATGCAGCAAAGGTTCCAGTTTTGAGAACGTATAAATATCACCCTGACAAATACCTAGTTTGGTTCCTGTTAGTTACAGCTCCAGATTCACCTAATTTTACCTAATTGATATCAATTAGGTAAAATTGGTATCAACAAGTGAAAGAATCAGAATTAGGTCAAAATATCCACACATTCCTACAAGCTGTAGGCAGTTCTCTCAGTTTCATGACTTAGACTTTGTTGTAAGAAGAATGTCGCCTTTTAGGTCCGACAGGAACTCACACAGCTGGTTTGTATAGAGAGATTTCAACAATAAGAAATTGTGAAGTCCTAATTCCAAATGTTCACTTAGTCATACTTTTACAATATGTTCTTTTTCAACCCTAAAGTTTGAAAGCAAAAACTTTTTTTAATGTTTAGACCAGTTATCAGCAGGGAGATATGCTGCTAAACCTCAAGAATATCAATCAGGTTTGTGAAACTCTGCTGTGTGACAGTAAAAAGGAAATCCACGAGGGCTTCCTGTCAGCCTTCACCCCAAGCCTCAAACAGCAGCTGCTTAAAGACACAACTCTTTCTAGAAGTTCTGTATTAAACAAGGTCAGACCTATCAATTGTTCAGAATATTCAAGCAAGCTATTTTTATCCATTATGCAGTAAAGAAACTGGAGTCACTGCAGAACTTGCTGGGTGCAGTGAATGCCCCAGATTTCTCACAGATATATCTGCCTCTCAGGTTTGAAATCTAAAATCACCACATACCATCTAAACAGCTTTTATCCTTCTCATATGAATGTCACATATGAAATACTGGTTAAAAAAAACAACAAAAACTGTCCTTTTTGCACATTTATTTAAAAAAAAACTACAAAATGTAATTGATTTGAGCAGAAAAGGTTAAAAAGATGATGATTGAGGAAAGGATATGGCCAACTATAAGGAACAATGCAGGAGTATGACAATGTCCAAGGAGCTATCAAGTATTTTAAAAAGATAACTACTACTGTGTGGAGATTTCTTATTTTACAGGAAAATAGCAAACGAGTGCAGGGTGGAGTACCAAGGTAAAACCCAAAAAGGCAACATGGAATCTCCATGGAAACAAAAAGCCCAGCTAATGTGCAAAAACTGTAGTGCAGCAAGAGAGAGAGAGGGTACACCACTGCAGTGCTGTGGAAAATATATTCTGAGCTCAAATACTGAGTCGAACAGCGTAGGCTGAACACAAAAAAAACATCTAGAATGTAAATAAAATATGTTATGATGAATAAAACAGAATCACTGCAGCAACTGGAC